CGTACGTACGTACTACAACTACGTATATATATATATAATTAACTACATAATAACGTAATAACTAAACTAAAACTACACGAACACACACACACGTACGTACGTACTACTCTCTCTCTCTCTCTCTCTCTCTCTCTCTCTCTCTCTCTCTCTCTCTCTCTCTCTCTCTCTCTCACACACACACACACACACACACCAACGGCACACCCCAAAAAATAAAAGCTAAAGAAAACAACCACCCTTAACCAAGTTGTGGGTGCGAACTGCCAATACTTGGTGATTACTGAGTTCACATTAGTAACATCCATTCACAATAATAAAACAAATGAATAAATAGAGATTTAAGAGCGATATTCTCTTGAGAAAGCTGTATGTTGAGAGAATCGCAACCAGAAATAGTTTGATGCACAAAGTGCACACTGCTCACTCTACAATCAAAGGAATTTAGAGCAAAGAAGCAAACTACAGGGACTGCTTCAAGTAGAAGGCAGATGTGAATAGACAAATACAACAAATTGTGATTTTTGTTTCATTTTTAGATAAACCTTTTCATTTAGAGTATGTGACAAATTTTCAGCTTTACTGTAGGAAACCCATATGCTTTCAAATAGAGACATCTTCACTGGAAGAACTTCGGCATAGACATGGTCTAAGTTCATGGAAAGATGGTCAGAAAGGTGGTGCACAAGTTATGGATCCCAACACTGGGTCTTCAAAGAGTCAAGTACAAATTTGAACAAAATTGTATAAACAATTGGTATAAAGAATTAACTTTTTAGTTTAACTTTTTTGATAATTAGTTTATTGTGTGAGGTCAATAAATAGAAGATTATGAAGATGGTGAACAATTGGAGTCATACGAACATGAAAATGAGAGCATTGTTAAGATGTTACGTTAAGACTTCTTCTTTGGTTTGTTCGAAGTTTGCATTATGTTGAAATTGGTACCATCTCAAAGTTGATATCTGGTTTGTTCCAAGTTTTGCATTCTTATAGAATTGGTTCCGTCTGAGAGAGTTCATATATGTGGCTTATTTGGAGATCCTACATATTGGTCCTCTGTTAGAAGAGTCCTACTAATATTACAGGCAAATTTCATACTTCTGTTAAACCACTGCATCTCCAATTGTTGATGTCATTCACAACTAAAGCAGCGGTCGGCATCTAACGGGGTCAACTAATCTCTAAAGTTCGGTTATCATAAACACAATCATTGGTTTTCTCTCCCGCTGTAGATATGTGGGACGATCCAAACCCTAATAACTCCACATCTCCTGTGCTTTCTGTATCTTTATCTCTTTTTTGAATAAAGAGTCTACATCAAGATTGTCTCCATATTGTTTTTTCCACGTTTCAGATCTATTTCCAACATTTTTATTACGTAACAATCCATCTCTTTTTTTCCTTTTTTTGTCCCTAGGGACAGGCACCCATCAAAGAAATAAAGAAGGAAAGAAAGAAGAATGACCTCATGTAGAACATGAATATAGATCATTTGTTAGGGTAAAAAAGTAGTGGTTAAGCATGAACACGCAAATCTACCACTGGACTACCAAAAAAGAAACATCATTGGCTGGAGTTCGTATAGCCAACAAAACAGCAGAAATTTAGAGATGGAAACTATATGCTTTTGGGGAACGTCTCCACGTTGAAATTAGAAATCAAATTATTTTTATTTTCTGAAGGGTATTTTCTTTTTTCCATGGATCACTTCAAGAACGATGCATGACACAATGGTGAAATGAAAAAAAAAAGTATGAAAACACCCTGATTGAAAACTCTATATACATAAAGGCAAAGCAAAGACTCAGTGGAAAAGTATTAACAACCAAAAAATTTCTAACCCAAAACCCTTTACAAAAGGATTGTGGAGGCTAAGATAACCTTCCGGGAAGAAAGAAAGAGGCTAGAGAAAATTCCAAAAAAGAGACAGGCTAGAGAAAACATAAGTCAAAGACTCAAGATTTTTCCTTCAAAATGAAAATCATTTGAGGTCACTGATTTCAATAGCAATATTGAAAATTCTAAGGCTTTCTATCCAAATGTTAAAATAATTTAAGGTTTCAAGATTAGCTAACATTGTCACATGAACCAACCAACCCCATAGAAAGGGGCCATAAGATTAGGGCTTGAATCCCATCATACCCAATCCCAAAAAAAAGGCCCCCGAAGAGGTTCTTATTAGACAAATATGCAATGTTAGAACAAACATAGAGTGCCATTAAAGCACAATAATGCACCACTACAAGCCCCATATAAGCATTTTGAGCAAAACAGAGAACCGCTACATTCTTGGTTTATGGAATCGAGCAAGAAATCAACAAACCCGTGTTGTAACAAGGCAAAACCAGAATAGCCTACTGGAATTGAGTTCATTGTCCCAACATTAGATTACACCTTCAATTCCCATTCCACCAACCCAAAGGAAATACAAAACACAAGTCACTTCCAAGTACCACCAATGGGCAATGAACACCAACAAAATCCACAAGTCACGCTGGACTAAGTTCTACCCCGAGAAGATAAAACCCAAACATTTTTTGGCACAATTTAGTTCCTAAGCCTACAGTAGTTTTTTTGTATCATTGTTCAGCATATATGTACTTTTATATATCCAAAGAGAACAACAAATGCAAAAATCACCAAAACTACCAATCTTGAACAGTCTACATGACTCAAAGAAATAAAAGATCAGAGAAAAACCAAAAACTAACCAGGCAATGAAGAATATTTTGCTCTTCTGGCAATTCTCAGAGGTCACGAAATCAAAGTCATATATAGCATAGCGGCAGTCATTTTCAGGCAAAGCAGCTGTGAAATCATCATAGCTCTCAGCTGGTCCACCCGTCTTCTCCACAACAACCTCCTTCTTCTTCTCATCGATCTTGAATATCACATAGCGATGAACCTTCTTCCTCTTCAGCTCCAGAAAGGTGTGCATGCAGTGGTCAGCCACTCCCATACCAGATGATGCATTGGACTACAAATTGAACACCCACAACCATTAATTATTTGCCATAAATCAGCCATAAATTAATGGCAAGCCCGCATTATTAGATCCAATAGCAACTTTCTTTTTCCCTTCATTTTTTTTGACAATTTATGGGCCTCCCATCTTAAATTCTAAATTTGGAGCATTCCAAGGGTCAGCTTTAGATACCAAAGTAAAGATGCCATCAATAGATAAACAGCGATCCAGTCAAGATTTTACATCTATGAAAGGAACCAAGCATTGTAAGCGCCAATTTATGCCCAGAGACACAGGACAAAGTGTGCTAACTTTTAATTAAAATTTCATGCAAAATGGAAAAGGGTCATCAAATCAGCAGGATTGCATTAAGGAATTAAACCATAATCCTGCAACTACATTCTTCTCTGAGAAAATAAGAATCAATATTTAGTTTGTCCTTCTCCATAGAAATACTGAACATAATGATAAATTGGGAAGGAGCACAATGAAGACAATTTTCAACCAAGTCCAATATTATTTACATTGGTGTCAAACTCCTAGCTCCATCATTAACTATAACTAGTTCAAACATGTCACTCATCTCGACTAAAATATCCATAAATCTTACCCAAATCAGCACCCAAAAAACTAGAAAAAGATCCCACATAATTCTCCCCAAAAAACCATTTCTCTTCAAATTAAATTGCTTGATTTAACATCACACTGATCAAATGTCCACCATTGTGCTGGAATAAGAACCAAACCACAAAAATGTTTTTTTGGAGCAAAACTTAATATATATATATATATATATATATATATATATATAACTCACAGCGATACTAACTCTATTACAACAACATTAATTTACGAACCAAATATACATCATCCTGGTCCCTTCGGCTTCAGCTTAGTGGTAGCAATATCAGTTTGGGTGAGGGAAGTCGAGGCTTAGAATAGGTTTGTACAAAGAGTCCAAACAAGTTTCCTAGCATTTTTTTTTCTCTATAGTGTCCTCAGGAAAATAAAAGGAACCCTCTCTCCCCACTGAGATGGTGGCTCAATTAAAAGTTGAAAAAAAAAGAAGATCAAATCCATAACTTCAAATTAGAAGGAAACCATCAAAACGCTGAAAAACTTTCCAACTGAAGCAATTTTCTCAAATTAATACAAAATGATGAATTCTAGATGATCCTGCTTCTTTCTTTCAAAAAATAGATGATCCTGCTGGATTGAAGCCAGAAATAACCTCATAACTTTTAAACCAGAATAAAAATGCTCATTTCAACGGGAACAGTTGAAACTTAAGGACTCAGTTGGACTAAAACCAGCAAAATTTTAACACTCTCAATTCAACATAAAATGATAAAATAAACATGTAAAAATTCTGGATCAAAACTAAAAAAGTAGTACAAATGTTTCATCTTCGGATGAATCTGCTCAGTTCCACGTCAGATGATGAAATTTAAACAGCATTAGTGGATTTAAAAACTTTACTCATTTTCATCAAATCACTGATCAAGCATGAGAAAACCAGCGCTGAAAACAAATTCAGAGACTTCTATTCCTGATACAAAACCTCAAAAAATGTTCTCCTAACGAAAAATTGTAATCCTGACACTGGATCGCACAAAAACCTCCATTAAAATGACTGGTGGTGCAATACAGGGAATATAAGCTCCAAAAAATTACAAGAAATTACAAAAAAAAAAAAAAAAAAAAGAATATTATCATGAAAGATTGAAGCTTACCGATCGGAAAGACATGACTGAAACAATGGAGAAGAAACCCTAAATTCCGACCAGCAAAAGAGAGCTTATCTGGTCTATATGGTGCGGAGAGAATGAAGAGATAAACGAGTGAGAATATATTCCAAAAAAAAAGGTGAAAAAAAATTGGAGGCGAAAGGCCAAAGAGAGAGAGAAAGAAATTTAAAAAAGAAAAGGAAAAGTAAAGGGGAGGTGGCGCCATCCATAGGCCGCCAGGACCTTTTCCTTAAAGGATGCGGTTTCTAGTTTCTACAAGGCTTAGGCCTCATAGAAAACCGTAAAGCCTCAATTTCAAACTTCATATGGAAAATATTTCGGGCATAGAAAAGGATGCGGTTTGTATAGAGCGTAGGCTCTAAACAATCAAATTAGAGCCTACCTTTACATAGGATCGAAAAATGTGGTTTTAATATTGGAAATTTTTGTGATAACTTTAAAATATATTTTTACATTTATTTATAAATTTTAAAGCATAAAAAACAGTGCAGCTCGACATATCTATGAAAACATGAAAATCTTGAAAATTGATGGTCCAAAAATGTATTACAAAATACACTACTTTCAAAACTTTAATCCATTTTTTTCTGGTGTCCATGTTTCTTGATGTCGAGATGATCAATTTGAAAATATTTGGGCATCAAAATAACCTCTTCTAGTGAAAGTTTTTAGGTACTCTCAAATTTGATTGTTTAGAGCCTCGGCTCTATATAAACTTTTCCCATAAAAAATCCCAATGCCGGCTCTAAAATTGATTTTCATTACTGATCATAAAATATTTAGCTGAATAATTGGTACAAATCTCGTGGATTCATGGATATTTGAAATTGTACTAGATAATGTGTTATAATATACATTATTTTTAGATTTGAAATTTTTTTTTGTAATATTTAAAATAGGGGTGCAATTGGCATACGGATGCATCTGTAGTTGTAAAGATAAGGTGCACCTCCAAAATTTATCATGGTATATAATTTTGATGTAAAATATTCTTATGATTATCTTAAAATCTATTTTTATATCAAATTATAGAAATTTAAATTTCAAAATGGTTAAAATCAAGTAGATCTATAAACATATGAAAATCTTGAAAATGGACAATATGGATAATGTTGTAAAATGCACTATTTTTTAGACTTAAAATCTTTTTATTTTTCATGGTCATACATCTCGATGTCGAGATGATCAATCAAAAGTTTTTTTAACATTAAAACTACCTTTGTCGATGGATTTTTGAGGTGCATCCCTATTTCTACATTATAAAGTTGCATCCATATATAAACCTTTTCTTTAAAAGAGTTAATGTCATGATTGTTTTGGTAATATTTGCGGGGTGCGATTTGTATAGAGTTGAGGCTCTAAATAATAAAAGTAAAGCTCACCTTTAAATAGTGTCGATAAATATGGTTTCAGCATTGGAAATCTTTGTGATAGCCTTAAATATTTTTTATATTTAATTATAAAATTTAAAGTTTCAAAATAATGTAGATCGAGTAGATCAATGAAAACTTGTAAATCTTGAAAATTGATGATCTAAAAATGCATTACAAGATGCACTATTTCCAAAACTTGAAATCCATTGTTTTATTATGTCCAAGCATCTTGATGTCGAGATGATCAATTTGAGTATATTTGGGCATCAAAACAACATCTTCTAGTGAAATTTTTAAGGTGAGCTCTAATTTGATTGTTTACCGCCTCGGTTCTATATAAACCATTTCCATATTTGAAACACAACTTTACTTCTTCTTTTTTGTAAAGCCTAGGCTTTATTTTAACTCTTTCTTTTTAGTAAAATACATCTCTTATGTTTTAAGTGTTTGACATTTTACCCTCTTTCTATTATTCCAACTCAAAGTCATGTGCATTTTGATAAGCATTTTGAAATTAAATATAAACATATGAGTAAAATGTTATGTAATAAATAAGTTGAGTGATTTTTGGTACAAAATGTTGGGTGGTCAAAAAACAACATACCCATAGAATACTTATAGTTAAGATGAGGATTTTAAGATGGATGAGTGGCAAGAAAATAAGAAATAGAATTCCGAACGAATACATTTTGAGAGAATTTAAATGTGGTACCAATAGGCGATAAGATGAGAGAAAGTATACTTAAGTGAGTTGGACATATGTGGTGCAAACCAAGTATAATACCAGTTAGGAGGTGCAAGGTAGTCAAGTAGAATGCTTTGAAAAGACAAGAGATAAGCCCAAAAAGACATGATTAGAAGTAGTGATAAAATACATAAGGACTTATGGCCTCACCCTTAATAGATCATAATAACGGATCAGGATTCATGTAACCATATTTAATTATTTGAAAAAAAAATTTGATGATGATGATTATGATGACCTTAATGCATTTTGATAAATTTTTTAAAATAAAATAAAAGATTTTTTTTTTAAAAAAAGTGCTTATCAGTCTTGCAATGCATTCACCCAAAACAATATCATATAAGTGATATAAGATCTCAGGATTTCAGGCAAGTTCTACTAGTTTGGTAATGAGTAGTTATACTCTGCATCCAATGTCCAACCTTATCTATAAGGAGGAAAATGAATCAAATCATTCCCACTTAAAATACGAGTACTTGAAAATGCAAAAACAACCCAATATAGTTAACAACTCATTTTCTACCTAATATAGTTAACTATAAATGGTAGATGTTGTGTTTGAGAACCAAACACTATACTCGTCTACAGTAAAATATATTTTTCTCTTTCTTTATGGGTGGAAAGATTTGGTGTGTAAGCCCTACAAAATACTTTACCTTTACCTGATGTAAACAAACCATATAAATGTCCAGCTTACTCTCAAAAAAGAAAGTTAGAACTATAGATATAGTAGACAAATTTAAGAAAAGTATACAGTAAAACTATTTGTCTTTAATACAAGGAGATCACAGTCATTTTCGGCTATTAGATGTGAAACTGAAAGTGTTTATATTATATCATAAATATATGACAAAAGAGAAAAAAAGACTTCGAGACTAAAAAATAGTGCACCTTACACTATATTATCTAGACTATCCATTTTAAAGATTTTCATGTGTTTATAGATCTACTTGATTTGAACCATTTCTAAAGTTTAAAATTTGATAGTTAGAGAAAAAAAATAGATTTTTAAGGTTATTTTAAAAAGTTTTGGTACCAAAACTACAAGATAAAAATTTAGAGGTATGTTTTAATTTGATTGTTTAAGGTTGCAACATTATTATGCAAACCACACCTTTTAAATTTGGAAAACGGTTTGATAGGGCAGCAGCCCTATCGAAATAAATAAAGCCTCACTTTATAATTCATCAAAAACTGCAATTCAAGCATTAGAAAACTTTTCGATCATCTTGGCTTGAACATTATGGTTGTGAAAAAAAGAAAAATTTTAAACTCTAAAAATATGATTATTATAACAAATTATCTAAACCACCAATTTGCCTTAAAAATAAATGTTCATAGATCCACAAGATCTTTTAAATTTTATATTTGGTATCAAAAATTGATTTTAGAGCTTTCATGAAAACTTCTGTTTGCCGAAAGTGCTTTTTGGAAGAGGATTTGAGATGAATATTTATTTTGTTTTCATATAAGCTACGCCTTTTGGTTTCATATAACCTACGCCTTATAAAAACCTCCATTTATGGAACTTCGACAATTTATACGTGAAAGGAGTATTTTAAATTGCAAAAAGCAAAGGTCAAAAGTGGATTCTTTTTGGCTTTTCTTTTTTGTTCTTTTTTGTTAAAAACTCGTTTCTTTTGGACTTTTCTTCTTGCGTCTTTGAAGCCAGGGATCTTTTCACACGTGTAAATGGTACAAAACATTCTCGCTATTAGCGAAAGTTTCAGGCGTGTGGGGATCGTGAACATAGGGAAGTGTGAAAATATTTTAAATATTAAAAGCCGTGATTCGAAATATGAAATGCCTGATTGCACGTGCAAGTATCGACCGGTCTGCGGATCATTAAGTGAACGGACGGCTAATATTTGATAGCAGACTGTAGCCCTCTACGCGATAAGAGCGATCAATGTTTTATGTTTAATGCCGAAGAAGTATACTAGCCATCTACTCCTTTGGGCAAAACTTAAACTAGGAGTCAAATTTGAAAGATTGTTTCATGCGGGTTGGACTGGATTTCTACAATATGAGGCCAGAGGTATAAAGCATCCATCTTTGAAGATAGATGCAAATAGGTGTTCCATCTAAAAATAATTGTAATTAATAGTTCAAATGTTTTATTAATATATTCTGTTATTTTTAATTTTCAAAAATTGTTTTATTTTTTATGTTCATGATCTCCATGTTAAAGATTATATGTGCTCTAAAACTTAGGATCAAATAATATTTAGAAAACTATTTATTGCCAAGCCCGCATTTCTACAATATGCAGGTTGGCTGCATGCTAACAGTGTCCATCAAATTTTGAGATGTGATCTCTAAAACTAGACAATGAACCTCAAAGAATAAAAATGAACTCCTACTATCTATGTCACTCAAAAAAAATAGCAACTCGAAATTGCATCGGAGCCATCCAATTTTTTTGTGGGAATGATCTAGATGTTCAATAACTCAAAATCCAATTTTTTATCTGATAATAATCATAATGGATTCCACTTAGTCCTCAATATAGAACTCATGGCTTATCTGTTGCACTGTAGCGTGACAATACCAGGTACTTATCTTCAAGCTTATGGCCTACCCTAAAATCTTGGCCATAAAAGTTATTGGAAAAAAAATAAAAATAAAACTATTCCTTTTCTTTTGGACACTATGCTGTAACCTTGGTACCTTAACCACTATCCTAAAAGGGAGATATTTTTACCCTGAATGAAAAAGATGTTTTTACCTTTTTTTCCCTCTGTTTTGTTGGGGGAGGGGGTACCTTTTTTACAACCCTTATTTAGAGTACGTATTCTATGCTCTTTTGGGGGTGTAGTTTTCTTCTATTCCTTCGGTCAAAAGATTTATTTGGGAGGATTTTTTAAATTTTTAATAATTACTTAAGAATTAGTAGATGATTATTTTAAAAAAAATTTGAGTTCTCTAACACTTAGATATCACCATCTAAAAATTGGATGGTCTATGTTCAATCTCAAGACATTACCTTTTTCAAGTGTATAGGGTTACTATTAAGAAATTTTTATTATCGAGGTTAATGTATGGATTGAA